TTTCTTAATTTTACTTAAGATAAAACCTTTTAGAAATATCTTTCAAACGGAGCAGCGTTTGAACTCTTGTTTCAAATACTCTTTAAAAGCCTTTCTAAAACTAGCCAACTCCTCGGCCATCTAATTTGACTTTAAAACGGATTTCGAGAGAAATCTTAAATTCAATTACATTTTTTAAGTCTTTTTCAAATCAATCGTCACGTTTAAAATTCGTTTACTTGTTGCATGCACTGTTGCAACGTTATAAAACTTTACATACTCACGACTAAGGTTGTTGGCTACAACCTCGGTTTCCTTAACATAAATATGTACATATACTTTTCAAACATACATGCTTGAAACATTTGAATGATATAGACATATACATGATTTTACTTAAACTTACTGCGGAAGATTTAAATGTTAGCGGTATCTATTCCCATCTCTACCATTCGTCCACCGCTCGCCATTGCCCTTCAAGAATTGCTGATAGGTTTCTTACCTACAGCATGAACATATCTGATTGAGCTTTCACTCAGCAAGTAGGAACTATCTCTCGTAAAATAACTGTAAGTACACATGAATAAATATGCATGAGCTGATTATGCTTAATTATGATGTCTTATCATAGTCTTATTATCTTATCTTATCTTATCTTTCTTTCTTGTGGGCCCGAGTGCTCGCGTACCATTTGCGCGCAATCATCAGGACGTGAGGGTTTGCAAGGTCCCCCACGACACTATGATTATAACTTGAATGCCTCTCTTGAGTCGGATGACATTATTATTATTTTTTCTTTTCTCCCTTAAGTTGGAGCTTGAGTTACCTCCTTTGAGTCGGAGGCTGGTACGACACTCAATTTAGATTATTCTTATAAGTTCTTCTTAACTTATTAAGGTGTATGCAATATGACATAGCATAGCATACGATAACATGAAATGTACTCAAACACATATAATTCATGTGCACTACTTAAGTGTATGCAGCATGACATAGCATCGCATATAATACTTAAAGCATAAACATGCATATACAATATGTGTAACTTTTTCTTTAAAATCTATTCATACTGTAGGCGAGATTCCTACTTACCTGATTTACAGAGCTAGAATCCACTTTTTGCCGAACAAGCTATTCTCTTACTTGCTTACTTCTGAAAATGAACACCCATTGAGAGTGAGATTATCTGCCATTTGCTATTCTATTTTAGCAACTTATGAAGGAAATCTAGCCCTTCACTTAAGGCATGTATTAATTTCCTTTACTGAAGGATAATTTACTATCAGGATCAATTTATTAAATCCTCAAGATCTTATTTTTCTTAATTGCCCTTAACGTACTTATGTCTAGATTGAAAATCATTTACCCAATCTAGTAACTTATTCTCCATAATTTTCCTCATTGAGCTTATTATGATATTAATGCCCAATCCGGCCTAGAAACTTATTCACGACATTCTAACTCTTAGGCCGTTGAAATTTAACTCAAACGGAGTCTCTTAAATCAATGCGGGATTGGACCTACATCAAACCTTCAAAATTCTACGGACCTATTGTATTGGACTCGTGGGTGCCCGTCGGGATAATTCGCTCGATAAACCACTATGTTCTTTAAAGAAAACAATTTTTTCTTGAAAACTTTCTTTACGAATACTTTCGTTAAAATGAGGTTTAATGCCATTGTATTTTATTGAAATCCTATATCGGGTTCTTTGATGACTTTTTTGTTAAAACCGACACTGTTTAGTTTTGTTTTGTTAAAAACTGTGCAGTTTCTGAAATCTGCGTTATGCTGCATCATAGAGTCAGATTTCAAAATTTTGTTCTTCGCGATAATTCTTCATCTCGTCAAGATCTAAAATTGTTATTTTTGGTGAAAGTTGAAATTCAGTCCCTAGAGGTCTCGTTTGGCTGAAAACAGTGGCTGTTATTTTTTTTCTTTTGCTGTAGGAAATGCTGCAGTAATCTTTTAAAATACTGCGGATGCTATAGCAATACTGTAGCAAAAATTTTCTTTTTGAAACTGTGTTGGACAGCCTGTCCATTTTTTTGTAAAATGGCTAAAAACTTGCTTTTAGAGTTAAAATTAGGTTTTGTCATAGTCACCGAAAATGTTCAAAACATCAAGGGCTATAAGTTCAAGCTTTGAAAGACCGAAAAATCTTGCTCTAGGTCCTCATTTTTGCATTCAAAGTAACCGGAAATTTTTTTTCCCTAAGCGAAAGTAAGCAAACTTCAACCATGTATAAACATACCACATATTGCTAATCAATCTAAGTTCAAAACTCACAAAACTAACATAAAACTCAAACACCCTTATTACAACTCATCTCCTCAAGAACCACAAATTTACATCCATAAATTCAAGCTTAAGGTTGGCTAGAAATTAATGGAGAAGAGTTTAAAAACTTACCCTTGAAGAACTCTCTCTCTCTCTTGAAAAGCTTTGAACTCCTCTAAGATTTGTTAATGGCTTGAAACTATAAGAGTATAAGGAAGTTTGAGAGGAATATTTCTACATATCAAACTTTACTAAAACATGAGAAAGAGAGGATTTAGAGTTTCTTTACCCTTGGAGGAATGCTTGACTAGTCTCCTCCTAGAATCCCTTGATCTCTTTATTCTTCTTCTATGGTTTGCTAGTGGCTCAAGATTGGGAGAGTGAGAGAAAATATTTGAGAGAGAATGGAGGAGTGTGGTATGGCCGGATTTTAGTGTGGGAAAAAGGAGAGGAGAAAAAATGAGGCTTATCCTATGATGGTTCCTTTTATAGGCAACTTAGAAATTATTTTTTTAACACCACCTCAACTCCCTCAATCAACCAAATTTTGGTTCAATTCCCCTAAATCATGGCCGGTTCTAGGTGGAGAAAAATTGAAGCAAATATGCCATGATTTCCCCTTCAACCACCACCATCACATCACACCTTAACTTGTAACCTTCTAGCACACTCAACTAGCCAAATTTTGGCTCTATTTTTCTATGCATGGCCGGCCAAAGTGGAGAAGGAGAGAGAGAAAAATATAACCCACCCCTTGTACTTTTATCCACTCTTTTAAGTTTCCTTTGAATCAGATAAAAATCATACTTACTATAAGGAGGTACTTAGCCGATAGGAATTCTAGTTTCTGACGGTTCCTTTTCTACTGCTTAATTACAGTTCAATATTAAATCCTCGACTACTTTGAGATCACATTAAATTCTTACTCGCGTAATATCTTGAACTGTTTAAAGTCTTGAAATTAATTCTAGACTGAACAAATTCTAAATTTAACTTTTCTGCATTCTATCTCGGGAATGACGTTGTTCTGACGGTGTCAACTCCTGAGCTCACATTGTACCCTTTTGTTATGGGTATTTATCTTGTGACTTTAACCTAGCTGTATGGCAATTAAGGATTTTCTCTTATTTAAAAATGTCAGTGCGTTTTTTTTACGCTGCTAACATCGTGCTATGCTTGGAGATTCTTGAAATTAAGATTCTCAAACCATACTTGTACTGAAAATTATTCCGCTTTAAAGTACGGCGGGAATTTATCGATCGAAAACATGAACTGAACATGAAATCTGCTACAGAATTTAGGAATACAGATATTAATTTCATAAATTCTTCAATCACATAATATTTTCTAGAAAAATCATTAACTTAAATACGTAAATTGTATTATTTAAAGTCTGAGATTTTCTCAGTCATTACAATTACTATCAGTAAACAGATTAGTCAATGATTTCCCAAAGCAAATTGAAGAAATTACTCAATCTTTTATTTAATCATTATTTGCTAATTTTTACTTAGTTTACCAAGTTTTAGTACAAATATCTGGATAAAATTAATTACGCTGAATTCAGTCCCATATAATATATTGAGAAAATTAAAAAATATATCCCCATAACTCACCACTTTATTCTGTGTCCTCCTTTTATAACTTTGCTAATTTTAAATTAATAGATAACACGAGAGAATGATTGTAGGAAGTTTTAAGTATTTAAGAAAGTGCATATTCTTAAAATTGGGAGTGGGACATTCCTCTAAGATTTGTTGGAATTCAAAATTTTTGTTGTTATTCAAGAAGGCTGTGGGTAGGATACAAATAACGAATTAGGGTATGCTTGGTTAAGGATTCTCTATGATTTAAACCATAATTATTAATTTCGTTATAGCGTTTTTCTCTTATAAAAAATTTAAAATTTAAAAATAAAAATTATAAATTATGATTTGAACTCATGAATTAAACATACATTTAGTTTTCTTGTTGCATTGAAAAAAAAAAAGATATATCTATATACCTACATATATTATATATATAAGATAATAATTTATGTGTTACTTCAGGTCTCTACATTTATTTCTTGCTATATATTTGCTAGTTTGCGCAAGCTAATTGTACCGACCTTAGCTCAGTTGGTAGAGCGGAGGACTGTAGTGAGTTATATCTGTCAGATATCCTTAGGTCCTGGTTCGAATCCGGCAGGTCGGATAGTTTGTTTTTGTTTTTCTTAAATTTTATTTCCCCAAGAAAAAGGGAATGTACTAAAATGTGTTGTTTTCCATGATATAAACGGAATTAGATAAAGAGATTTACATTAGTTTTTTTTGCTGAATGTTGTAAGAAAGTTATTGCTCCTATATATCTTCATAAATATTTACAGGTTATACCTAAAAAATACTGGAAAATATTTAAAACAATAATCAGTATTCACTGTTTAGGTTGCTGGTTCGAATCTTGCAGGGCGGACAGTTTGTTTTTGTTTTTGTTTTTTTTTAAATTTTATTTCCCCAAGAAAAAGGGAATGTACTAAAATGTGTTGCTTTCCATGATATAAACGGAATTAAATAAAGCTAAGGTTTACATTAGTTTTTTTTGCTGAATGTTGTAAGAAAGTTATTACTCCTATATATCTTCATAAATATTTACAAGTTATACCTAAAAAAACACTGGAAATATTTAAAACAATATTCAGTATTCATTGCTGATGATTAGAAGACAAAATACATGCCAGTTTTGCCAGGGGCGTTTTTTTTTTTTTTTGCCTTTTTTTTCTTTTTTGTGATGTGAAATACCATAGCACAATTTGCCCCATACAATAGACATGTGTTTGTACGTTTCTCTTTTTCTGCATTTCATGTGACCATCATATCGGCAGCAATTTAGTGATCAATACTCAAATACAAAATGGACACGATTTTGTCTTGTGCCTAATTTCTGCAGCCTTTTTGACGAGGATAAAACAAATTCCACTGAACCAAGAAAGGCAAAACATGTTATTGTCACTGCCCTGATCTTAACCAAGAAATGGACCACTGTGAGGAAAATCCCAGACACCCCAGCTCATGGTAGGCCCAATAATAACATTAATCGACTTATGTAACATTTTTTAGGACACTTTAGGCCACACACATTTAATCCTCCAATCCAATAATATTACTGGCGACCCAAGCTGTGGCAAAAACGGAGTTGTGGCCTTTCCATGTGAGCACCAACATATCTTCTTCCCTCTTCATGCCCCACCCACTTGCATGTTCATCAAGCAAATCCTTCACTTCCTTAACGGTGTCTTCCCAAAACGGAATGCTAAAGAAGCCGGCGTTCCTCATCCGTTGCGACGACGTGACACCTGACTCTAATCGCTCTATCCTTTGGAACCCTTCAAAACCTATGACGTTTTCGATCTTGTGACCGATGTCGGATTCATATTCGATCCTTTGGCAACTATCTTTCGGCAAGAAAGTCTCCAAAGCGTCAAAGGGAATCCATAGATAGTTGAAACAAGTCGCGATTCTCGACGTGAGGCTTGACGCATTTAGATCCGAGTCTTCGTCGACAACGACTACGATTCTTGGGTTGAGATCTCTAATCACGTTGAGGAAAGTGTCGCGCAAAGAGTTGAAATCATTAGCATCTTTACGCGGAGTAGTAGAACTTCCGATTTGCTGATGATCATCGGGCAAATATCGTAGCCAATTTTGGAAATTCACCACCAAAGCCTCATCGTCTTGGAGGTTTAGCGACGAAGGGTTTAGTTGACTTAAGAGGACTTCAAATTGAAACTTGTACAAATTACATTCTTCACTAGTAGTAATTAGTGTTGTTTCACTACTAGAGGAAGATGATGAGTTTCCAATCACGTTGAATTCAAAAGGGACGTTTTTAAACTTAGAAAAGTTCGCCAAACGGAGACCAACTTGTTCACATGAGACGTTGAGCAGAGGAGGGACTTGTGGCCTAAAAGATGGAACGGTGATTCTAAGCGAAGGAGGCCCTTCAGGCCTTTTAGCCAAGGCGTCAATCAAAGTAGGCCATTGCATACAATGCGTGATGCTAAAATCCAAGACATGAACCTTTTCATAACCTTGAACCGCCTTGAATATAACACTATTGGAAGCACAATATCCAAACCGGTGCCAAGGAATTAGATCAACATACCCGGCCAACTCGGTCACCGACATCAACCGCCTTCCAACGTCACCATTTCTCCTGAGGCTGTTCATCGCCGTGGGGCAAACCCTAGAGGCCCTCGAGATTAGTGCCCTTAGAAACCATGACGCGAGCCTTTGGTTGAGGTCGCCGACGGAGGAAGCGACGTTGTTGAGCACCCACATGATTTGTTGGGCCAAAGTGACGTCGTTTCTCTCTAGGGCACTCGCGCAGTGAAGCAAAAGCTTCTCTATACACCCGCCGTCGAGGCTTCCGAGCTGAGTACACCCGTTAAGCGTGCCGGCTAGCTCTAGAGAGCCTTCATGAGCGGTACTACTGTTGAAGAGATTATTAGGGCTTTGGAGAGAAAGAGACGTTGTGCTTCCTCTTGATTCAGTTTTCATGGCTGGAGGGAATTAAAAAGATGAGGGGAGAAAATTAGGGTTTTGTTGGTGATTGGCCAACGTGCATGAGGAATATCTGAAAGTTCAAAGGCCGGGAGAGAGAGAGAGGAGATTATGGAGAGGGAGAGTTAAATTTGGTTGATTTTTTGTGTTTGACACGTGTCTCCTTGATATTGGTCGATGGGATTGAAGAAGCTAGGGTTTTTTATCTTTTGTAGATGGAACTAATTAATTTCACTTTCAGAAAACATGAGGTCTTGGGTATTGGAAATCTCTTCATGGAAATCGCATTTTAAATATGTTTGTGTAATATTTGAGAGAGAGAGATAGAGAGTTGAGAGCTTTTGATCTGCCACTTGAAGAATGTATTAATATAAATACTAAGGGAGAGGTTTCTGTTGGACAAGTTATCCGGACACATTAATTAGCCGAAAGAAGACAAATAATAAAGTACTGATGAAAGGAAATTCGAGCTGGATAATAAAATGACAAAAGGAAAACTAGCTAGGCTTTTAAGAACTTGTAGTTTCGAGAGATTTTCTTCTTTGAATGATCTTTTCGGAACATCTTTGTCACTAGTGGCATACGTGTAAAAAATTTAAAGAATCAAAGTAAATTTTGTTTTAGGTGATAGGCTAATATAGAGTGTTAGCCTCCTTCATTTCATTAATTTAAATTTAAAATTTAAGTTTTTTTACAGTAAAAAGATATTAAAAACAGTCATATTTAATTTTTTTATTAAAGTAAAAAATTTTCACATAAAGTCACATCTCAATTCAAATTAAAAATTTAAATCAATAAATTAAACGGGTCCTTAAATTCTAATTTGTGTCCATTTAGTCAATTTTTGGAACATTTTTTTTTCTTTACCTCCGGCCTCAAGATCGGCAACTGCCCATGTATCAAGAAAACAGTAATTTGATCTTTCTTTTTTTGTTTTTTAGATATCGCTATCATTATCTTAATCACACAAAAAAAGGCGACCGAAAACAAAGAAAAGATTATGCTGTTCACTTTGCTAACTCAACAAAATTAATAATCGAAATGTATTGAATCTCTAAACCCAGAATTCAATACATTGAAAACAATTTATACGCCTATTAACCCAGAATTCTATATATGGAAAACAATTTATACGTCTACTAAGCACCAATTGAGCTAGCCTAGCTTAATTATGGCAAAGTTATCTCTTATTATAGAAAACAAAATAACTAGTAACAAAGGTTTGATCCGTTCATTTCACCGATTCAAATTTACAATTCGAATTTTGTTATAGTAAAAAGTTTTTAGAAACAATCACATTTAATATTTTTACTACAATAAAAAATTCTCACATAAAGTTACATCTCAACTCAAATTAAAAATTTAAATCAGCAAATTAAACTGGCCAAAAGTTAGTCGACCTAAAATTATTGTATATGATTATGAGTTTATGATTGGAAGTAAGGGCACTATTGCTGTTTGCTAAGGGGGCCCCACGGGGTATAGAAAGCAGCCGTACGCGTGCGTTCCCATGTTATGCATATTGCGAATTTAACAAGCTAAACTAGATAATTAGCATAGTACGGCAGGTAACAGACAATGTCCTTATCATATAATTTCCCAAATATGTGGTTCATGGTAATTGCTATCAGTACTACATAATTATGAATATAATCTCATCTTTCAAAATCAAATCATGATAAATTTACATATATGTATATATGTGTGTATATATATATATATACATATTATAAATCGCTTATTTGTTCTATTAGTTACAAAGCGCTACCAATATATACCCTTCCTTTCCTTCACGTGTATTTTGGTGATTATATATGTCATGGTCCGACTAGCTGTGTTGATTTATGATTAATGTTTAGCAGAGGGTTATAAAGAGTAGGTTGAAGAAGCTGTCTTAGCCGGCCAACTTTTTGTCGAATCTCTACTAATGAAGAGAGTTTTACGACAAAACACCCCAATTAGTATTTTAATTACTCTTTGGCTTTTATTTAGTTAATCAGAGTTTCATGGCTACCATTCATATGCTTCCAGTAAACGATATCTATGAGAGACCAACTTGGTGCCTTGTGCCATGTGATGCCACAGCATAAGACAAATTAGGCCTCTTCCCCACCATGGACAAATCAACTAATTAATTTATATTAATACATAAATATTTAAGTACTCTTGCTGATTGGGAACCATTGGTTCTTGTCTGATACTACAGTTATTCTCCCTACAGAAGTAATATATATATATATATATATATATATATATGTTTGTGTGTGTGTGTGTTATATAATAATAGCATGGATTTATGAGAAAGTTGCATCAAGATAGATGTGTGGAACCTGTTTGATGGGGCGTTATGTAAACTGAAAAGTGTTTTGTCTCTTATAGATGGAAATCCCAGAAAATGCTGTTTTAAATTCTCTTCTGTCGAGTTCACTTAGCTCTATTTGTATTGTTTCAATGTTTAAAACGGCCTAGTCATTATCTATATATGCAATTACAACCTACTATTACATTAATTAGATAAGTAAATAATTCGTGTTTCTACCAAAAAATGTAAATAATTAGTTGTAAATTCTAGGCCGGTACTCCCTTTCATTTTATCAAAGCCAGTGCAGAGATATCACAAATATATCAGTTAAGAGTTAATATTAATAACTAAATTGCTATATATGTCAAACTCAAGAGTATTAGATTGTCTTCATTATCTTGTTCCATTAGCTATCTCTCTATTATCTCTTCACTATTTGTTTGTCAATTCATCTAAATTTAGCAACTTGGTCACATAAATAGAAATATACTAAAAATATTTATGCAATTAATAAAGTATCAAATTAAATTAGAGGGACAACTAAAAAAGGAAAAATGAGACAACATGTTTGAACTCTTAGGACAATACTTCTCATCAAAGAAAGCAGGGAAAAAAAGAAAAGAAACGTTCTTTATCTTGGATTTGCTTTTATGTACCCTCTACATGTTCCTGCAAGATGGTGCTCTCATTAGAGTCGCCAATCTTATATTAGATGAATAGAACAATTAGCTAGTTAAGCTACGATATTACGTGGAAATTGGGTTTTCTAACAACTTTATAAGCTTTCATTTAAAAGGTCTACTTACTAAGTGGAGTGGCCCTCCTTATAAATTGATGTTTATGCTTGTGTGTTAAATGACGTGGGACTCGAGTTGCTTTTACACTTTGTAGGTAGTTGGGCGTGTCGACACTTCTCTACGAGGTCAACAGAGGGGGCCGGAGGGGGTGTTCACACTTTATTAGAATGCAACTGATTATCATTTCCTCCACACACTGCGTTCTGTAGTAGTATAGTACTACCTAGAAATATACGCAATAAACGACAATCAAGCTGATGAATCAACAGGACTACTTTCACCGATTTGCTCTTTAGCAGCAGAGATATTTTTCACTGTTTCTGAGCAAAAATATGCTTGTGAAAAGGAATAAAACAAGAGATCCCGCGGAAAGAAAACACTGAACAATAATGAATGTATATTTGTGTCCTTGCTGTTTGCGCTAAGAGAAATTACAAGAAAATAAAAATGAAAAGATCAGTGAAGGTGATAAAGATCTACAGGAGTACTAGATCTGACTTGAATTATCAGCGACATTTGCAGGAGTAATAGATACCTTCAGAACCATTCGTTACTTCACATGGAATTAGACATGTCTTTGTCATTTTTATAAACCAAGCCAATCCAATGAAAAACCTTGTATTTTGCGCTTTAGATTCTTTTACAAGTAAAAGGACGCTTTTACTATATGTTCCTCATGGAATTAGACATGTCTTTGTCATTTTTAGTTCCGTACTGTAATGTTAGCATGTTATAATTTACGTTGTTTGATTTATACAAGTACATAATGAACGTATAATTTGTTATATAACATCATTAATGACACGAGATTATGGTAATTGTGAAAGGAGAATCACGAAAAGAGTGACTCTATTATGAAAATTAGCTTATGCTACTTGATCATTTGATGAAAGTAGAAGGAAAAAGTATGTAACACGTACGAGAACTGTTGATATAAGCATGTAAACGTTTTAAATTGTTACCTATCATTAATGATCATACGAGGTTATAGTAATTGAGACGTGACATGAGAAAGAAAACAAAAGATATAGAGAGAATACGTATAATACACATATAATAAGTATATTCTCCTCAACTAAATAGATAGAGAGAATGAAAAGAACAACGCCGGAAAGCCCTGAACTCTATTTCTGTTTGTCGTTATATTGTGTGATTATTAAAAGCGGATAAGCACTAGTACAGTACTCCTGATAGGAATATTATATTATTACTTCGGATTTATGACTTAGAAAACGATATAATCAGTTGGCTAAAGAGAGCAGCACCTATGCCACCTAATTAGTCATGTAAAGCCATAAATAAGCTATACGTACATTAAGAATCCAAATCTTTGTATATCTTCTATACAAACATAGAGATTTTCACCCCATGCATATGGAAATTAAAGAAATTGAAAAATTAAAGCAATCATTTGCGTCAATAGGAACAAATTAGCGTGAATACAAATTTGAGAGTGTATGCGTATTTGATATTTAAATTTGTTCCATTACTAATCATGTCATCTTTAGTAAATGCTTTATCGGATTGAGCTTCGCCTGTTAGAATATGAACATTTTCGAGTCATGCAGCTAGAAATTACGAGAGATTCGTAGGTATATGTATAGTCATGTTTTAGGACAACTGCAAGACTCAACGGGTAGCTACACAAGCAAAAATAAAAATAAAAAATAAAAGCAGCGTAGTAGCTAGCATCTTCTTTTATCTCCGAGTTAAAGCTCACTACAAACGAATACGCCATAAGTTCGAACTGCACTCATGCCTCTCCCGCATCAAGTTGAATTCACCAGCCAAAAAAAAAAAAAAAAAAATTCCTAAACAGCGTACCAAATATGTCCGAAGAAGAATAGTAGAGCAATCAAAGCATGTCCAAAAGTAAACCAATCTCTTGGACTGCTGTAAAAAACACCATTGTATTTCAAAGTCGTATGCTCTAATTCAAAATAATTTCTGTAAGTCCGCAAGCATACGGTGTTAA